TGTTCGCTATACATATTTCCCTGCCTTTAGTTGTTAGTTAATCGTATTTATTTGAAGGTAAATCACGGTCAACAGTACTTATAACATACTAGAATACAATATTCTAGTATAAATATATTATTTGAATATTTTATACTTATAATATACTAGAATACAATGTCATATGGATACATTTAATTCATTAACTAATAATTTGTTACATAAATTTCAAGACTTTGTTATAAAATAACATGTTTATAATTTATTATTTTTATTAATTAAAGTTGTTCTTTAATATTAAAACTAAATAAAAAACATAAAAAAATATAATTAAAATGAGTTAAGTATTGAACTATATATTTTTCTAAAATTAATTTTGATTTTTGAAATATTTTGTTTTTTATATATCGAAGTAAAAAAATACCTAGTTAAGTATATCTTTAATTAAAGAATTTATCTGAATAATTAAAAATTTCAGGTTTTAAGTAAAACAATTTCATCAAAGACAAAATTATTTTACTTAAAATCTGAAATTTTTTAATTATTTAAATAAAAATCAAAAATCAATTTTGAAAATATATATAATAGAAATGATAGGTTAGATAGTTGTATAGTTAGACATTTTTTAGGTTTAAAGTATTTATTTATATAATAACCTGTTATAAAAATAAGTGAATATATGTAAAAAGTAGTTAATATAATAAAATTTTAAGTTTTTTTATGTTTTATAATTTTATCTTTAAAATAAGTCAATTACAATTAAGGATCTATAATAAATAATAATTTTGATTGGATAAAAATCCTAGAATCAAATGTGTCCATATGATTTTAGTATATTATTTGAATATTCCATACTTATAGTATACTAAAACATCTCTATAAAATTTCTAATATCTAGTATTACTAGAAATTTTTTTATTATTTTTTGATCTATAATTAAAACAGATAATCAAAAGATATAATAAATATTAGGTGACAAATATAATTTTCTTAATCTGATAAAATTTTAGGTCAACTTTAAAATATATCTACTTTTGAAAAATTATATTATTTAAAAAAATATTATATAAAATTAATAGTTTAGATTTAAAATTTTCAATCTTATATGATAAAATTTTGATTGAATCTTTTTTAAAAAATTATCAGTGTTTAAAAATGTGATACTTTACATCAGAAAATTTTTGAAGGTGAATATATTTGGATATATTAAATCACTCATACATTTATTCATATAAATCATATTAATCCACATTAATCTACATTAATTCATATGTTATACTAAATATATTTAAATAAATTTGTAAATATATTTGGATATAATTTGTTTTTACTAATTACAAATAAATTTATATATATTTGCCTTTAAAATTTTCTGATATATTAATATCTTATAATAAAAAAAATAAAATTAAATTATCTAATTTTTTATTTTTTTTATTTTATTTTTTTTTAATAAAATAATATAATTAAATAATTAAACACTTATATATTCATTTTCTATTTATTTATCCATTTGTTTATTTGTTTATTCATCTGTAAAGTTCATTTATTTATTTATTTGTTTGTTCTTTTTTGTCTTTCTTTTTCCTGTTCACTGATTATTTTTTAAAATTAATATAAATTATCAATATATAAATTTGATCTTTATAATAATATTGCAAAGTAAATAAATTATGATATAGAAACTTATTTGTCTTATTTCATAAATCAAATACAAAAGAATTATTGTACTAAAAAGGAATTTCAATTTTAGCTAATTTACAATATAACAATAAGATAATTGATTTTTAGTAATTTTTAACTAATTTAATTAGTCAAATACAAAAGAATTACTATATCAAATGGTGATTCCTATACTATAGATCAGCTAAAAATCAGTAATATTCAACTGTTCTATTGCATCCTATATTATAATTAATAAAATCAAAATTTCTTTTCAGTATGGCATATTTTTTATATTTGACCTGTGTTATAATATAAGAATTACTATACCATTTGGTACAGTAATTCTTTTATATTTTATTTATATTTTCTCCATAATAATTATACTTATTTGACATAACACCAACATAATTTGATATATTATAATTTTTTATAAGTATTATTAAGTAAAATAATTTGTAGATGTAATTTGACATAATTGTTTTACTAATTAATGTAATTGACATAATTATTTCACTGTGAAGTATAATGATAATTATAACAACAATAACAATAATTGCAAAATGATGATTTCAGAATGATAATGATAATAATAATTATAATACAATGATAATAATTATAATGATATGATGACAATAATTATGATGTAACTACTGTTATCACTGCTACCCTATTATTACTGCAAGAAATAAATATTAAGAAAAAGCTTAATACATAAAGAGACATACTATATTATTCATACAAGATTTTTAAAATTTCTTACACTTCACATAAATTTATTATAAAAAATTTTTTTGCACTTTGTACAAAATTTATTATATAAAGTTCTACAACCAAAAATTGAAACATTTGTCAGATTAAGACATAATGCACCATATTTAATAAAATCAATATTTGAATGGTAATGAATACACTACCCCTGACAAACCCCCATATGTGGTAGAAAAATTTCTGGAAACATTATAATGATGACTTTGACTTAGTCCAAACTTATAAAAAATCAGATCATTAATTTATTAATATATTTTATTTTTTATTATTTGACTGTTATATATTGCATAATCAATTGTTTAATTGCTTTAATGATTTGTTTTTATACATTAAGGGTCAGTATCGATAGTATTGATTCTTCATATTTCAAACTAAATCGAGACAATAAATTATATTACGCTGATTAACTTTAGATTTACTAATACACGGATTCACGTTTATATCAGCATGATATTTTTTTGTCAAACCCAAATATCAGCTTTCGAATATGATCTCTGGACTAATATAAAATTTATACACGTGTACGTATAAAGATTGTGGGTATGATTGTACGATTACCTAGTACAATCCAGAACAGAATATTCCCCTTGTTGGTTCTTTAAGTATTACAAACAATTACCAAAAGGCCATTAACAAATCTTTTATTGTATTGATAATGAGAATTTTTTTAAAAACTCGGATGTAAGTACAGCATTTAATAATGTGTTCGCTCCAAAATATGAAGAAATTGTAAAAGAACTGAATAAAGCGGCAGAAGCTTTTGATATTATCACTCAACAGAACGTTGAGGACCCTTATGTTAATACCATATTGACAAAATGACCGAACAAGCAAGAGAATTTCGTAATTCAACCATTAAAAGTGTTGATACAAGCAATAAAATAGTTGAACATTGCTCAAATATCATAATAAATGTCACAAACCTTTCAAAAAAAAAAAAAAAAAAATTCGTGGGGGAATTAGATAAATTGTTGTCTCTCGCAGAAACATGTAGAAGTCAATCCGATACCTTGAAAAAGAGGTACCATGACATTCAGAAAAATCGAATGGTCATGGGGACGAAATTCGAGACAAGAAAAATATAATATCTGATATGGAAGAAGATATGAATTTTAAGATAAATAGATTTATAAAAAGAGTTGCAAATGATGATACAAATAGAAATGATAGAGTGTTGTTTGATGGGTTGCGGTTTGATGATCGGGGGTTTTCCTGGATATTTAATGGCAGAGGCAGCAGCTAGTGCTCTCTTAACACCTGATGAAGAGCATATTAAAAGGAAAGAACTTGCTCAAATTGAAGAATACAATCAAGATGACCGAATTGCTATAAGAAATAAATGGACCCAACTGAGAAACTACTGGCAACATCACACAAAATATTATTTAAACAAACAAAAAGGATTATTGGGGTCATTGACGATTTTGAATTATTTTGGGAAACTCAAGTCGAAGAAATCAATGCTCTTATTAAAGAGTTTAAAGAAAAGAAAGCATTAAAAAATATGAGAAACAGGAAATTATCAAAAAATGGGAACAAGCTCGTAAATAATACACCAAAATAAGTTATCAGCTGATTACCCAGTTTTTTATGTGTTAGTAATGAAAACTCGATTTTTTTTTTTGGATGGTTGATTATTAAATATTTAAAACATGAAAAATGTACTATCTAACTAGATGTGGGCATAACATATAAAACATATTATATTAAAATATTTTATTTTTTATGTATAACGTCTTGTACTAAAAATTATTGGGCAACGATGGTAAATTAGTTTTTTAGTTTTAGCTAACTCTTTTATGTAATTAATTGTTCTATAAATTGTATATTTATTTTTCAATATAATAAACATCTTGGAGTGAGGCTCCGTTGGTTATAAAAAAAAATGAAATTAAGCATAATACTTTAAAATGGTCTATTTTTTTCTTTAGGTATGTACATGTACGTATATATGAAGATATTCCGGAACACTCGTCAAATGTTACAAGTTGTCACAAGAAAAAAATCGATAGTGTTAGGCTCCTTGAGAGTTTAACATCATTCTCGATAACTGTCACAAGTGTCACAGGTTTTTTCACAAACAAGTTCGGATATATTTTTTTATTAAAAATATCATGAATCCATCAGGTACATATGTACATAAAGTACTTAATTATTATTTTTCTAGAATTATACTTTTGTGATAATATAGAAATATATAACATGAAAGAATAAAATGGTTTAGAAAGCTCAAGGAGAGACAAAAGGCTGTCACAAGTTAAAAATAATAGCTGAGACGATTTTAACAATTGGGACGTGATCAAATCTATTTTGATAGAAATATTATATATAAAATCGCAGAAGACCAAGTAAAGTAATCTGCGGAGATTATTATATATACAAATGGCAGAACACACCACCAGCTTACAACTTTTTTCTATATAGTATAAGGTGAGATAACTGTAAAAAAAAACATGTATCAAATTTTAGGAAGATAAATGATCGTGATCTTGATATATGATTACTTAAAGGTATATAAGTTTGGAAATATTATATAATAATCATGGGAAATGGCTACCTATTTTATAATATGAAGTAACTTCAGTATAGATGCGAAGTCAAATGTGAAAACAAATGCGAACCAATCATTATCGAATACAGACTCAAAATCAAGGTTGATAATGTATACAAGCAAACCAATTGATAGTGAATACAGACTCAAAATTAAAAATACATATGCGAATCAATTGTAACTCGAATGTGAAAACAAACACGATTCTTCCACTCTAAAACATAAGTAAGTAACAATCTAACGGAAGCAGGTTGCTATATATATATACTGCAACCTATTAATCATAATAATCATAATCGTCATTGTTTTTTTTTCATCAGTTTTTGCTTCTTGTTCAAATAGAAGGCACTGTCAAGTTGCATAATATTCTGGATAATTCCTACATCTTCTTTATCCCTTTTGGCTTCAGTTATGCATAACAACCTTTCCAGTTTACTATCTATTTTATTTATTACAAATTTAAATGAATAGTTAACTTCACCTAATGCTTCTGCGCCTTCAACACGTAATTTCATATTCGATCTAATTTATGGTAATTTTCATTTTCTTGACAATTTGTAATGAACCCTGTAATTCAATATCAATATATTTAGAGTGCACAACTTCTTTACGACCCAAAGAACCCATGTTATCCAGCCTATCTTTAATGTTATCTATACATTTCTGGAAATTTATATTGTTGTCTTCAATTTAGCCTTGTTAAGTTTTCAAACAAAAGATTTTCTATTGTAAGCTTACCTGGTATGAAACTTGGTATTTCATCAATGTCAACGATTCTAAACTTGCTTAACGCGTAATCCCTATCCCCTCGGTTCTATAATCTGAAAATGATCGAAGTTGGTTAACGAGCTTTTGTGCATGGTTTACAAGTCTATCCAATCTTCTTTGGTTAACGTGATAAGTCTGAGCCACCATCCTATCTTTACAGTTCATTTTTTATGTTTTGCAAACATCCATTTTTAACTTTTTCAATTGATGGGAGAACCCTTTGTCTTGGTATTGTTTGAGAAAATAGCCTAAACGCGAACTTGCATGGATTGTAAGTTAGTATCTTCAAAATGCTATGATTATACATAATCGTTACGATGAAAAGTAGAGACTTATACTATTGTATAATTCGAGTCTAAAAAAAAAATCAAGATGTTTAAAAAATTCTTTTGAACCAAAAGAAACACATGATACAAAGGAAAATCGTAAAAATTTTTTGCGTAGAGTTCCTATTCTAATTTTGTGAATGAACGATCATTGTATTAGCTATTATGTATTACTTATTATTAATTATTAAAGATCATCTTTTCACATATATTGATTTTTGCGTAACAGTATTTTTTGAATAAAATCTCCGATCGAATAGTTTGGTGTGCTACTATTGTTATTACTACTCGCGATCTATAAAGTGACTATAAATAATAATATAATAATAAGTATTCGGAATTTGGAATTTTTCAAAATGACTGACACAGATATCAACATGGAGATCATAACACCGGAAGGTGAAACACCCCAACAAGTAACAATTTCTCCTCTAGTATCAAATGCTCCTAATAATTCTGGTTTAATGGTATCTCTGTAAATATATTCTTTTCTATTGATTGTATCTATTTGAAGTATTTACTCGTTATATATAAAATTTATTGACTATTTTACTCAGGTTATTCAGGTTATTCACGTTATTCATTTTTTTTATTCATTTTTTATTTTATTTTAGACATCCATTAACTTTATTAAACATATCAGATCATTTCACACGTATTAAAATGCAACAACAATTACAAAATCCTCAAGGTAATTTTTGAGATTGCAAATAATGATAATAATAATTTTATTTAATATTTTAAATTAACTTATTTATTTCTATTAGTCATTGGAGCACTGGTGGGAACACAAAATGGACGTGATGTAGAAATTACAAATTCTTATGAATTAGATATTACAGTTATTGATGGAAAAGTAGTAATAAATCACGAATATTTTTTAACCAAATCAGAACAGTGTAAGAAGTTTTTTTTTTTTTTATCTTGTAATAATATTTGGAAAAATTTATAATTATAAAACTAAATCTTTCGGTATATAAATTATTTTTTACAGTTAGTCAAGTTTTTCCTAAATTTGATTTCTTGGGTTGGTACACTATGGGTCCTTACCCAACAGAAGCAGATATCGAAATTCATAAACAGGCAAAATATCATTTATTATTATTATTATTATTATTATTATTATTATTATTAAAATAAAAAATTAATTAATTACATCGCGTCAGATATATTCGCATATATTCATTATACATAATAGATATTTCATATATTTCTTTAATAATAGATGATGAAATTTAATGAAAGTCCACTTTTCCTTCAAATGAATCCTTTCGAAATGGTTACATCAAAAAATCTTCCTATCACAGTTTATGAATCGATAATTGATATAATTGATGGACAAGCACATACGTTATTCATAAAGTCACAATATAAAATTGAGACAGGTGAAGCTGAACGTATTGCTGTTGATCATGTGGCCCATACTGTCCTTGGTGAAGGAGGGGAAGGATCTTCTTGTAAATGAAAATTTTTAATAACTTTAAAAATTTTACTTCAGCTAAGGTACAAGCAACAGACTATTAAACAAAATATTTATCTTTTTTTTTATTATTTTATTTTTCAGTAATTGCACATTTAACTACGCAAAGGAATGCAATTCAAATGTTACATACTAGAATAAAGCTACTTTATCAATATCTTGATTTATCCAATAGCAGTAAGTTTCTTTCTCTCTCAAAACATTATTTTTCATAACGCAATTCGAATGAGACAAATCATTAACTACGATAATTTCTTGATAATTTATACATATACATCATATATATATATAATATATATAATAGAGCAAGCACCTGTTGACCATGACATTCTTCGTCAGATTGCTGCTCTGTGTAATCGTTTGCCTACTATTGATAGTTTGGATTTTAAACAAGAATTTCTTACGGTTTGATTTTATTATTATTATTGTTGTTGTTGTTGTTGTTATCATTATTTCTTACGATATTTATTTAAACATAGGAATATAATGATGTTTTATTAACTTCATATTTGGCTACAATAACTAAAGGGACTAATTCTATTAATGAGGTATTTTTCCAATCATTTTCAATCATCCTCAAATAATCCGAATGCAAAAAAAAAATGATAATAATAATCTTCTTAATTAAAATTAGTTGGTAGATAAATTTAATATTGCGACTAGTACAAGTAGACAAAGTGGACGAGGGCGTCATCAAACACATCAAGGATTTCCAAATTTTTAAAATAATATCATCTTCTTCTCCACAATCACAACCACCAGCACTAACAATAACAACAACTTCAATAATAATAAAGTTCAATCTTTTATTTAATTATAATTACAATTTGAGATATTGTGAGGTGAAATAATAATAATAATAAAAAAATTTTTATCCTTCTTTTTGATTACACACTTATATATATACCATACAAAGTACGCTGCAAAGGTATTAATAAAAGGTATACAAAGGCTATAAAATATTCTATTTAAATATACATTTTAATCCAGTTTAAATTGGAAATACGGTTATCCTTTATTTTTATTTTATTTTTATTTATATTGAAATTAGATAATAATCAAAACGGTTCATTTCCTATTTCTTAATAATACATATACATTAAAGTTATATATATACAGTATATATTAATACCACTCAAATTGCAAAAAAAAAAAAAAAAATACCGCAGTTATAATAGAATAGAAAATGGCATAACCGAGGTCGCGATTTATATATAGTTTTGAAGCCAAGTTAGATAAAATTGAGAAATGCACACTAATAAATGCTCAAATTTTGGCCATGCCAGTTCCGCTGAAGTAATGATGGCCGCAGACGCGTAATGTCTCTTTGTTGTAGGCCAACTTAAATGATCTAATTTATGATCGCCTATCTGCTAAACACGTATCACGCGCGACATCACGGGCACGAAAAAGACACCTCATGCTCGAAACTTTATACCGGATGATTCGTCTATAAATATTAGCAATTCTCAAATTAGCATTATGTTCAAAAGAGAGGTTAGTTCATTTATTATTGATTTATCGAAGTGGGCAAATAAGAAAATACCCAATGGGTGTATATCATATGATTTACTTCAAGATTTATTTAATAAATTAATAACTACACAGTGGAGAGCATTTTAATATCATATTGTATTTCAAGTATATTCTTTCGTCAATATCACTAATAAATTTTTTTACTGTCTCCACAAAAATAAATTATTTTCCGCTAACAATTTTTTTTTATTCTGAAAGAGAGTGTATTATTGAAACATTTATTCTTTTAGATACTGAAGTTGTCTTAGAGTTATTTATAAAACTTTCTTTTGTGTCAGAGCTTTTCTTTCTCTCTTTTCCTTTCAAAATGACTTGTTTCGTGATAACTTGAGGGATCAGCAAAAATTTTTGCTGATTTCAGCAAATTTCAATAATTTTTACATTTATAGAACTTAAAGGTTCAGTTGGGATTAAATAAAAGATATATACAGGGCTACCTGTGTTGATCCTGTCTAATTACTACCTGTTTCAGTCTATTTACAGTGGCGATCATAAGTATGCAACAAAAAAAAAATTACATTAAATCAAATTATTTCATGCAATTCTGAAGATATTGTTTATTATTATTATTATTTATTTGTTAATAGTATTAGTTTTTGAAATTAAAATCTTGATAGTTGTTATTATTACTAGATCCAAAATAATTGTAGTGTAGTATGAAATGTGTGTTATTGTACTATATAAAATTACACAAAAAGTAAAATTTGTTATTTATTTTGCTGTTGTATCATGTTGCAACTTCTTGATAAACAAGTTACAACAAAAAAGCATTATACAACTCTCAAAGAGAGAGTTCAAATTGTTCATTTATTACAAAAAAGATATACTACAAGAGAAATATCAAAAATGCAACATATTAATCCATCTACAGTTTCTCGTATTAAGAAAAGATGGCTTGAAAACCATTCTGTTGAAAACTTGCCAAAGTTAGGTCATTCACCTATTACAAATAAGCCAACACAAAAAAAAATTATAAATCTTATTATTTCTTGCAGGTGTTTATCTATACCTGCCACCTAAATTCAAAATCCAAATGCCGAAATCCCAAATGCCGAAATCCCAAATCCCAAATCCCAAATCCCAAATTATGATTAGTATTTTTTGCCGAAATCCCAAATCCCAAATCCCAAATACTAGTAATTTGGGATTTTGGCATCCCAAATCCCAAATGATTTGGGATTTGGGCAACATGTATATGTTTATCTGCTGTTGAAATTCAAAACCATCTACAAGAACAAGAAAATATTGATATCTCAGCACCTACTATTTGACATATACTTTGAAATGGTGGATTAGTATCAAGAATTAAAAGAAAAAAACCTTATTTGAGTAAGGAAAACCAAATGCATCATCAAAATTTTACATAAAAATATGAAAATTGGACAATTAATAATTGGTCAAAAGTAATATGGGGAGGAAGGAGGGTTTTCCCAGCTAAGGTATTAGCATCGGCTAGCTGGTGTAAGCTTATCTTCTACTATAGTGATATTTTTTAGTTATTGTATAGCTTTTTGAGCTTTTTCGCCTTTTAATATGTCTAGAATTCTATTTTGCTTTCTTGCTTAGCTGGAGTTTTCGGAATCTTAATTTTGATGACGTGTGATTTATATTTTAGGCCACATTTTCGTTAGATAAAAAATATATTGTATAGCTATCTGGCCTTTAATCGTTTTTTTAACGTCTAGAAAACATTATAGATTTCTTGCTTAGTTCGAGTCTCCAAAATCTTAATTTTGATAACGATAAATTTATGTTTTAGCCCCACCTGGAAGGTATAATGCGGAACGCAGTGGAGCATCTAGGCCCACCTGGAAGGTTTTGATGCGAAGCATAGCGGAGCATTAGTTATCATTATAGATTTCTTACCCAGTTTAAGTTTGAAAAAAAGAAAAAAAGTAATCTGTCTGTTAACAGTTACTAATTAACTACACTTATCTGAACACGAAAGGCAAAGCCTCATTGTTTTACAATACTTGAGAGTGAATAGGAGTGAGAACAAATTTTATTGTAGTGTTTTAATATATAGTAATTTTATATGTTTCTTACCCTTTTTCTTCTCTGATTCAGAAGTGGTATTTTTGCTGAGTTGGCGAGCATTAAACTATTTAACATAAAAGTCACCAGCATGTTTTTTACATGCTTTGGGTGCAGCAGCAGTCGGCTTACCACATATACATGGAATACGTTTTTTAGACCTCCAATGTTCCCAACAGCCTTCAGCTTTGTGACAACGTCTGTTACATAAAGAGCCATTATTGTGGAGATATTGGCAAATATAGGATAGCATTAGTATAAAATATCTTGTAATATTATTAATTAATTATTCACTAAATATAACAATTTTCAATTTAGAAAAAAGCATGATTATATGTAACAAATAAAAAAACTATACATTTATTATGGCCAAACAAAATATCAATACAAATTCGATTACAGCAAAAGATATTGAAAATGCATTGCTTAAAGTCTTAAATACAGCAATTCGTCGAAAATTTAAAATTGATAGCAAATTCGTTAAAGACCATCTAAGTTATGTAACTAGATTACAGTCAGCAAAAGAACTAAAAAAGTATATTCGATATAAAGCAAGGCAACTTATGTCAGATGAGGCATCATATAATAGAAGAATAGAGTATATTCATAGTCACTATTCAGGAGAATTATGTGAAAAACTTGAAAAATTATATAATCTTTATTATGAGTTATCTCAGGAGGAAGAAAAAGATGAAATTTCTAAGATAGATACAAGTGAAATTATTAAGGGTCTTCTCAAAATATCAAATAAATAATATTATCATTGTCTAAATAGAAAACATATTACTTGATTACTTGTTCCACATACCTCGCAACTGATTGCTTTTTTTACCTATACTTAATTTGCATCTCAATACAACAAACTATATAATAGCAATAAACAGTAAGATAAGTAATATATATACTGATAATGGTGACATTAAACCACTTGTCACAATAGGTATTGCTTCTATTCCTCTTACTGAAATCTGCGGATTTGAATTTATATGTGTGTCTAACATAATATCTTTACTAGTTTTGCTATTATTAGTTTCAGATGCATTAGTATCCTCACTCTGTGAGTCACTTACCTTGGGTATAGAGATGACTCCGTCATTATCATCAATTTTTTTGATATCTTTTATATTTTTTTTGCATACTAGATACGGTCTAAGACTATTGCTAGATTCACTAATTATTGTAGAGCAATGACCTAAAGGGTCTATAGATATATGTGCTTTAGCACTAACTCCGTTATTATCAGACTTGGCTATATTTTTTTCATTATCTCCACCAACTATTGTAAAACAGATCAAAGAGTCTACAGGTTTTGATATAGCCTCCAATTTCAGGTGATCGAGTTCACTTCTCATACACTCCAATTCAACTTCTATTTGTTTAAACTCACCCATTTTAGATTTAAGGAATAGATTCTCAGATTCTGTTTTTGATAAGTTTTCCTAAATCGAAAATGCGTCTTTTTGAGCTGATGCTAACTTACCCTTCAATATTTTAATTATAGCCTGAAGTGATTTTATTTCTTTTAATTATATATCATATCTGGCTTTATACTCATCACGGGAAATCTATGATTGGGTAATCTGGAATGTAAGATTAGTATTGCTTACTTTCAGTCGTTTAACCTCATCTATAAGCTGGAATGCATGTTTGAAGAGTTTCTCTTTATCTTTATTGAATTGTTTTAGATTATGTTGTATACACTTATTTTCTTTATCCAAGATAGAACATTTATTAACAAGTCGATTACCACATTCTATAGTAATTTCCCGATCTTGATTTGCACAAACAAGCTAATTTTCAAGTTCTATTCGGCTAGACGGATATCGATTGGTGGGCATGTCTCCAAGTTTTTTGCCTTCACCTATATCTGATAATGTATGAATT